ATCTCGAAATAGCGGGCATGGACGTTATTTCGAAAATCGTGTCCTCTAAAAATAGCATATGTAGATTCAGCCCATTCGCGTTCCAAAATAACGTGCACCCCACTATTCTGTATTTTGAAAAAAAACAGATCAAAAATAGAGATATTAACGAGTACGTTCGGTCCAACCCAGTTCCGGTTCTTAAAAAGTCTGGATCTAACTTAGCAGTTTAAAATACAATATATGATAATTTTGAAAGTGAAATGCCAAAAGTATTTATGATTCATTTTCATTAAATTTATCTGAACTAGTTTCAGACCTGTCCTAAAAAGTTCCAGTCCGAACAAGTTCTTTGTGGGATATTTAATATCTTATTCAAAAATCCACACAAAATATTTGAAATAGCGCCCATGGGCGTATTCGAAATAGCACGCAGGTGCCCGCTATTGTTCGAGATTTTGCGATTTGTAAAATTTAAAATTCGAATCTAATATATTATTCTAATATATTATCTATCTACTGTAGATGGATGGAAAATGGCTACAGAAACATTAAATGTCTAAATATAACGATACTTAATATGATACAGGACCCGTTCAAGATCATGAGAAGGAGGAAATAGATGAAATCTTAATGTTTGAAGAGAAAGTCGATGTAGGTATTATTAGACCATTTGAATTATTTATAACATTATCCCGTAAGTTTGAAAATTACAGATATTGTTTAGCACCCCTCAACAGATGCTAACGTGTCCCTTCATGATTCTCTAAAAAATAAAAAAGACACTTAGACTTTACATGGAGAGATCCAGAAGCGAACATAATTCTTAGTGATGAACCAAAGGTGGTGAAAAAATGTGATACATTTGTGGTGGTTTTAATAGGTCGTCTGTTTCTAAAACTTTAATAATGTTTTACATGATAAAACATGAAAAGCAAATCAAAGTGATCCAGAAAAAAAGACAAATCAAATTCTATTAAAATGACCAATCTCTAATCGGTTAGTTTAAATATTTATATAAAAAGTG